TCCTGAGGGCATCTCAATATGGAGCTTTGCTAGCTGGGGAATTCTGGGAGTTGAAGTCCACACACCTTAACGTTACCAAGGTTGGAAAACTGAAAAGGCAGCATGGCTTGGGAAATCGCTGAGGTCCATCTCCTCCTAAAAATAATTTTTTTAAAAACCCTCTTTTGAACCCGTGTCCCAAACACGCTTTAAAATGTGGGCATCCTTAGCAAGACGAGGCTGTGGGCCCATTCGAGTCATCTCTACTGCTTTTCTCAGCCCGGTGAATCTTTTCTTTTTCTGGGGGAGGGGGGGGAATCAGGTAGTCCTCGACTTACGACCACAATCAAGCCCAAAATTTCTGTCGCTAATCAAGACAGCTTTTAAATGAGTTTTGCCTCGTTTGATGCCGTCTTGCAACAGTCGCTAATCCAATCACTGCAGTCATTAAGTCCTAACACGATTATTAAATAAATCCGGCTTCCCCGTGACTTGTCAGACGGTCGCAAAAGGGGGGAATCCCATCACCCCGGGACACTGCAAGCGTCGTAAATATGAACCAGTTGCCAAGCGTCCAAATTTGGATCCCGCTACGATGGGTTGTCAGTGTGAAAAACAGCGAGGTCCCTTTTTTTCAGGGCCACTGTCATGTCGAACGGTCACTAAACAAATGGTTATAAAGCGAGAACTGTGTACAATTGGCCAGATGTTCATAAACTGGGGGAGGGGGGGAATCACAGCTGAGAAGCTGGATGACCTCTAAAGTCTCCCCAGAGAGGAACCACAATCCAGGATGAGTTTTTGTGTAAGGAGCAGCACAGACAGAGCCTGGAGCGGTGTCAAGAGAGGAACCAGCCTAGAATCCTTACATTGTCACAAACGATTTAAGTCCAACCCCTGTTGAATTCCGTTCACTCTTTATCTAGCGCCAATTTAACGCTGACTCATTGGCCGAGTAGATTTTTGCGTCCAGGTAGTAGTCCTCAACTCACAACCGTTCAGTTAGTGATCGCTCAACAATGATTCAGTTAACAATTAGGTCATAAAACGGGGCAAAATTCGCTTAACCGATGCTCCACTTAGCAACAGAATTTGGGGGCTCGTTTTTGGCCATCGGTAGAGGAACGCCTGTACTGGCACGAGCAGATAAAATCAGCTCAACTGGAACTTGACAGTGTGGTCCTGGTTCTTCGCGCCCGCTACGTTGGGATTTGCAGAGGGGGCAGCAAAATAATTCCTGGGAAGGGAGGTGGGCATTTGCAGCGCCCACAAAAGTCAGATCTTCCCGTCTGCCAACCTGGGGGTGGGGTGGGGGGTCAATCCTGGCACCACATTCCAGAAGAGCTGACGGGGCGAACCTGCCTGCAGCATCAGTGCCCTCTGGGCCCTGTCAATCCCACCCGCTTCCTGGCCTTGTTCCATTTGGGCACCCTTGGCCTACACACAGGGGTAGGCAACCTTGGCTCTTTTATGACTCGTGGACTTCAACTCCCAGAATTCCTGAGCCAGCCATGCTGAGGGGAAAGGGAGAGGTTTCCATGCTGAGCCATGCTGGCTCAGGAATTCTGGGAGTTGAAGTCCACGAGTCATGAGGGGGCCATAGTTCCCCCATGCTGGCTCAGGAATTCTGGGAGTTGAAGTCCACCAGTCATAAAAAGAGCCAAGTCTGAAGACCCCTGGTTTAAATATTTAAATATTTTTTCCTCACAGTCACGTGATCAAAATTCAGGCATTTGGGCCGAGGTAGGCAACCTCGGCTCTTTTATGGCTCGTGGACTTCAACTCCCAGAATTCCTGAGCCGGCCACGCTGAGGAAAAAGGGAGAGGTTTCCAAGCTGAGCCATGCTGGCTCAGGAATTCTGGGAGTTGAAGTCTACCCGTCATAAAAGAGCCAAGTTTGAAGACCCCTGGTTTAAATATTTAAATATTTTTTCCTCACGGTCACGTGATCAAAATTCAGGCATTTGGGCAGAGATAGGCAACCTTGGCTCTTTTATGACTCGTGGACTTCAACTCCCAGAATTCCTGAGCCAGCCATGTTGAGGGAATAGATAAGATAAGATAACCTTTATTGTCATTTTTATACTGTGGGCACAATGGCACACATCAAAAATGAAATTTAGTTGCCCGCTCTCAAAGTGAAACACATACATGACACACACCTAAACATACTATGAACATGAGATTTCCATGCTGAGCCATGGAATTCTGGGAGTTGAAGTCCACCAGTCATAAAAGAGCCAAGGTTGCCTAACTCTCCATTACAAAAATCCAGAACTTCGAAAAAGGATCGAGATTCATGCGTGAATCCTTTTCGGTGTGAAGCGTGCAGTTGGGAGCTGCTGAGCAGATGCCCTCAGAAGTGAGATGGTATAGGTTCTCTGAGATGGTATATAGGCCCTCCTACTTGAGCAGGGGGCTGGACTAGAAGACCTCCAAGGTCCCTTCCAGTTCTATTCCACTCTATTCTATTCTAAGCCTACAAAGCTGCCCTCCCTGGGATCTTGACAGGGTAGAAGCTCTTAACCCCAAGATGCTTTTTTTTTTTTCAAAAGGCAAGGAAAGGGACTTTGTTTTCCCGTGAAGACGTTTCACTTCTCATCCGTGGAGCTTCTTCGGTTTCTACGATAACTTCTGAAGAAACGGAAGAAGCCCCTTGGATGAGAAGGGAAAGCTCTTCAACGGAAAACAAAGTCCCCTTGCCTTTGGAACAAGCGTGTCCCGGGTGACTGAGAATCCCCATAGACATCTTGCGGGTTAAAAATGATTTTGGAACTGGAGCCCAGGAGCGCCAGTCTGCGGGAAGAGGGTTTAAAAAAAAGCAGCCTGGGTCTGCCTTGCGTTGGGGTTCGAGGGAAACCGAGGCTACATCCTGGGAAGGTGGAATCGCTGTGGCTTCCCCCAGGCCGGGCAATCCTGCAAACGTCGGAGGGAAGCCACAGCCACACAATGGTCTGCCAACTGCCGTCGCTTCGGCGTCAGCCGCTTCGTTCCCAGCGGTTTCCGAAGGACATCTGTTCTCCCCAGAATCAGGTCACCGGGGGTCGTCTGAAGACGCACTTTGGGTCCTGCAAGATGCCCATTTTGGAGAAGGAACAAGCTGGTCTCCCCCCCCCCTCTCCCTCCCTCTCTTTCTCTCTTTTTCCTCTCTCTTTCTCTCTCTTTCTCTCTCTCTCTCTCCCTCCCTTTCTCTCTTTTTCCTCTCTCTTTCTCT